CAAGTGAGGTATCACTGCGCAACGACATGATGTTCGTCTTGGGTCACAGACTTGAAGTGGCCTCAAACAGCCGTACAGCGCTGACCCGAAACCCTAAACTCCGAAGCCCTAAACCCCTTAACCCCTAAACCCCTGCAACCCCTAAGCCCCTAAGCCCCTCAACCCCTAAGCCCCTACACCCTGAACCCACGGACTAGAAACCTCCCTGCCCCCTTTGGATCTCGTGTCCGCAAGCATGGAGTGCCATTGCGCCGAAGCTTGGGGGTTCCTTTAAGGGATCTAGCGGGGCTCCTATAACGGGTCAAAGAATACTTAGAGGATCATGGGACCTAATCAGAAGTAAGGTTTTAAGTATCTTAATTCGGGTTACAAGTCGTTATAAGTAGAGTTACCCTAATTATAACCCTAGCTACTACGTCCCATGATCCTTGAAGTAGGGATCTATAGAGACGCGAACCTCCCTGTCATTCCAAGACCCCTAAGCCCTGGTTCAGGGATTTAGGGGACCCTATGTAAGCTACCCTACCGGTATGCAGAGTAGGAAGTATGGCTTGCCCGTATTGCACATCAGATGTCAATAGGATTTGAAGAGTTGTACCGGGCTTTTTGGGGCATTACAGGCTTTCGCTATTCCAGGCTACACCCCAGAACCAGAAATATGCCACCTTTGATACCAAACCCCAAAACCGGGACTAAACGGTTTAGGGTCCAGAGTTAAGGGTTGAGGGGGTCGATTCCAGGAGTAGGGCCTTAAGGTTTTCTAGCAGGATGGCGCAACGTACCCTAAGACGCTTCGTATAATATGATGTGCGACAATGGCTGTCTAGGGCAGTTAAGGCATGCAGGTAGAATCGGGCCCCAAGGATCAGAATGGCGCTTTGGGGTATAGTATACTCTACTTATTATTAGGAACCTAGAGGAACAATACTACTCGATTCTGTTCTGCTCTGGCTTCTATATGGGGGGTTCCGAAAATAGGGGGACCCTAATATAGTACTCCCTAAATAGTAGGATCGTTAGTATAAGGAACCCCAAAATAAGGTACCCTTATTTTCGGAAACTTGATATCGCAGCCCAGAGCCGCCGTCCGAAGTTCGCAAACTCGCTGAGAAAAAAAGCACTTAAGCAAAATTGAGGGCACTTGGAGGATGGGACTTAGTAAGTAAGGTTATAAGTACCTTAATTGGGGTTGTAAGTAGCTATAAGTAGAGTTACCTTAATTGTAACCCTAGTTACTAAGTCCCATGATCCTTTAAGTAGGGATATCTCATACGAACCCCCTTATAATAAAGCCCAATAGGGTAGGGATATCCCTGTAACATGCCTATGCTGCTTTTTGGGTCCCTAAGAAGTGGGCCTCCAGCTCAGTATTGGCTACGGGCCCTCCTTGCCGCAGCCGGATCGCCTCCTAGTGCGGTGCATGAGCATTTAGGGTTTAGGGGTCCGGTTTTAGGGTTTAGGGTTCCGGGTTTAGGGTTCCAGGTTTAGGGTTTAGGGCTGTAGTTCGATTTTATGGCAGCTCAGGGACCTTATCCTTAAATCAAATGCCAGACCTGAGACTCAAATCCTAAGCCCCAGCCCTTGTGCTGCTTAGCCTCGATCATAAGCTCTGTGACGAAAAAAAAAAGCGCAACCTGAAAGCCTCAAGCCAGAAAGGGCACCAGACACGGAGAAGCCCTTGCATTGAGCTTGGTGTGTTGCCAGGTTTTTGAGGTTCGGGGTTCAGGGCATACTTAGAGGATGGGACTTAGTAAGGTTATAAGTACCTTAATTGGGGTTATAAGTAGCTATAAGTAGAGTTACCCTAATTGTAACCCTAGTTACTAAGTCCCATGATCCGTTGCCCAGCATCCCACGGCCCCGACACGCAAAGCCCCTAAGCCTAGGCAAAACCCAACGCCCCTACCGACTCCCCACCCAAAACACTAAACCCTAAACCCCTAACCCTGAAGAACCCTGAAGAACCTGCCTTTTTCGGGCTCCTTAGTATGATTACCTTATATAGGTCATCAAAAAGGTAGGTTATTTGGGCTTAAGGTAAACCCGAAATCCTAAGACGATGAAGTGGAGCCTTGCAAGGATCCCTGGAAGGAGCCGAACACTCCAAGGAACCCCGAAAGAAGAACCCTTATACAAAGGAGAATCTCAGCAACCCACAGCCAGGACGCATTTGAACAGGGTTTTGGACAGTAGAGTTTAGGGCTTAGGGATTAGTTGTGGTGTCGGGTTTAATTAGGGCTCAGCGATAGTGTACGGTAATTGTATAGGAACAGTAAGGGAATACCTTGATTTTTACTGCGTCAAATCTCTGCGTTAGACGCGGTCCTGCTGCGCTCTTCGGGCCTGCTGGCTCCATGTCTCTGTCTCCCACTTCTGCCGATCCTTTCGGTATAGAGGTTCGAGGTTTTGGCGGGTTCAGAAAAGTGTCATTGGGCTGTCGGGTTCGTGGTACGGCGGCATTAGGGCTTGGGAAATCAGTCGTTGAGTTTCGCGATATGCTGAGTTGAAGGAGTTTTTTTTTTTTATGACCTCGTGTCTTTTGGGGATCCGCCAGACTTCCATAGTCGGATGAGGTGTTGGTATGCTTGAAGGAGTTTTAGGGTTTAGGCTTTAGGCTTCAGGAACAGGGTTTGCGGGATATGATCGTAGACTCGTACAGGGACTGTATAGGTATACTCACCACATTCAGACCGATACATTTGGAACTCAGGAATGGGGGCTGCGGGTTTTAGGGTTCAGGTTTCCCTTAAGGGCTCCTTTCCGGGTTCCTGCAATCAGGAGAAAGAGCCAATAAAGCGACTTCAATAAAGGGTTTGGAGTTCAGAGTTTTGGGGACTTGGGCATTTCGCATTTTAAAGTTTAGGTATATTGTGGTTTAGAGTTAAAATAGGGCTTTGAGGGTTTAGGTTTGGGGGTTTAGGAGATATAGACTGGGACCCAGGATAACGTGGGATATTTTCCGGAAAGACCCTACATCCATGAACCCGTCGACCGCCCGAACCCTGAGACTCAGGGCTTTAGGGATTCATGGTGCTAGCGTGTTAGGTGTGTTTTTGTTCTGTTTGTTACTGTTCAGCGTTTAAGTCCAGGTATTGAGAGTTCCACATCAAGTGGGAGCAAACTCGCAAATTCGCTGCCTCAGCCCGCCATCCGACCGCACAGCGCTGTTTTTCACTAAAGCTGGTGTGTACTGGGTGTGGGGGGGTGGGGTGTCTGGGGAATAGGTGCGCTCTTGCGTCCATGTGGGGTTTTCCAAATTTCTTCAAACTCAAATAACACAAACATGAGAGCAACATTCACCCGGAACCCGAACCCCAATCCGAAAAACACACACTCCAAGATCCTAAATTCAACTCTAAGCCGCAAACCAAAGTCGTCATCCTCAATCCAAACCAGATTATAGGGGCCTTACAACTTTGAACTGCGTTTTAGTTTAATTATATAAATATAAATATATATATATAGATATATATATATATATGTATATATATATATATATATATGTATAGGTTTATTTATGTAGCTACTATTTTATTTAATCGCCGCAACCGTAAACCCGAAACAGGAAGCCTAAAGAATTGTGCCACTATTCATATACCTGTCAGCCGAGGGTCCACTGTTTGCCGGCACCGGGACATTGCGTCCTCGGCCGGTTTTAGGGTTTAGGGCTTACGAGCTTAGAGGTTTAGGGGTTTAGAGCTTAGGGTGTTTAAGTTGGGACCAACAAAGAGGCAAAAACAGCTAAGCTAGGTTTACGCAGTCTTTGTGCTCTCAGTGGTCTACAGGAAGGGCTTACAGTTGATGTTTCATGTTCATTGCGGTACCAGAACGAAAGCGCACGAACTGTTGTCTTTAGGGGCTGGTTGATCCAGAAGGCAAGTTCGAAAGTGCTTAGGTTCACGGGGCAATCCGTCTTCAGGCATAAAGTTATGCGTTAGCTTTGGGGATCTCCTGCCTACATTCAGCCCAACACCCTCGACCCTGCAAAGTATTCAGGGTGCAAAAAGTGGCAAATAGCAACACCCTGTAAACCCCGACAGCAGCATCAGGCAATATGGGGGCCTGAGAAATCGCGCTGCGGGTTCTGGGGCTTCCTATACTATGGTTGGTTTAAGAAACCCTGAGGAACAGCATGAACAATTAAACCCAAAACCCTAAATCCCGACAAAAAGCATCAGGCATGGTTCGGACTTGGTCAAGAACATGAAGGAGCCTTTAACGATTAAGGTTTAGGGCTTAGGAACCCTGAAGAAAACCTTTGAAGGCAGCCTTAAAAGGGGACCTGTGGCCTGAAACCTTGACCAAGGCATTTGCTTGTGGAGTTCCTGTAGTGGTTTAGGCTATCGGGTTGTATGAGTAGGGTTATCTACGTTTTAACAGGGTCTTCTTGGTTTAACAGAAGGATTTCCTTGAGTAGTTTTTTAAGGTTGCTATGAGGGCTCTTGACGAGTTCTGCGTGTTTAGGGATTTTAAGGTTAAGAGTGTAGAGTCTTCGGGTCTCGGAGAAGTGCTCAACATAGGGCTTGCCTGCCTGCCGGAGCCCTCCATGATGTTTGCAGCTGTAAGCTCTGTTACCCTAAAGTCTCGGACGATACCTGAAGTAATGCAGGGGCCTCAATAATCACCTGTACTATTTGGGGGGTTCCTTGTTATATTTATAGTATAATAGACCACAAACCCTATTCTAATTATTAAGGCCCCCATATTATCACACCGGCCAAACTTCTTACCTATGCTGACCAGGCTCCTTCCTGAAATCTTCAGCACAAAGTCCTGTTTTTCCCCCTGCCACAGGCCATTGCGGGCGTAAAACCTCTGCACAAAACATCCGCAGGAGGCAGAAAAAGCAACCACACCACCACAGCACTACTTAGCTTCAGTCTGGGTGATGGCAGACCTTCTTTGAAGGTATGCCAGCTCGAAACGAAAGTAGAATATCCACCCTACAAGAACAAAATCCCGTGAAGCGGGTGTGCAGCTCTGAACGCAAACGATCAAACCTACAGTGACTGCAGCCGCTTTCCACCTACAAGGCTCTTATCAGGGAGACTCAGGACGATACCAACGCGGCCAGAGGTTTGACCTGGCTTCTTCGCGCCCGATGCGTGAAGGAGTTCGCCCTCAAACCCTAAACCCTAAACCCGATGAAACTGTCACTCGTCAGAGTGATACGGTATGCTCGGGTTTCGGATGATTTCGTAATCAGGGCAAGTATGAGAAGGACGATGGACAACTTTACTCTCTCTCTCTCTCTCTCTCTCTCTCTCTCTCTCTCTCTCTCTCTCTCTCTCTCTCTCTCTATACGTATATATATATATATACATATATATATATATGCGCACTGATCTATCTATTTATCTAGCTATCTACCAATCTACCTATCTAACTATCTGTATCTACAGAAATGTGTGAGTATATATATATATATACACACGTGTATCTACCATATACGCAAACATGTATTGAACTGTGCGAATACATACATATACATGTATGTATGTATGTATATATATATATATATGTATATATATATATACACAACTTGTATTCTTGATTATTATGTATTAACGCGTATAAACTAGCGTGTGTGAGTGTGCGTACACACATATATATATATATATATATATATATGTGTGTGTGTGTACGCACATGTAATAATGAATATATATATATATATATAGATAGATATATACATATACATATGCACACACACACACACATGTCAAGCTCTTTAGACATGTACACCTATTATACATTGTATATACACACATATATACATGTATAAACACACACATATATATATATATGTATGTATATATATGTGTGTGTGTGTTCACATATACTCATACACATGTACATGTGCAGAGAGTGACGTACCCATAAATATTGGGACCTAAACCGTATGACACTCTACCTTTCCCTACCTAGTGCCCTAAATCCCGAATGACCTAAACCCTATACCTATGGTGCCTTGTATGCTGATGCGGTTAAAAACTGAAAATTCTGGGGTGACAGGCCCGGCGAGCGTCCATGGAGGTTCAGACCGCGGATCTTTTGAAAGTAAGGCTCTAGGGTTTAGGGTTACCTTAGCACGACCTACTTGTCGGGTATCATGGGGAACTAAAGGTCAACCTTTTTGGTTATATAGGGGTTATATCGGGACTATACTACCCAAAAAAAGGTTAAAGGTTTCCTACTCTATTACTAGCACGAGGATCTTGACTTCAACGAAACTTGACTGAGTGACCGGAGTGCTTATTCTTCATTCATGGGTAGTTATACGTGGGGTTGTAAGTAGGGTAGCTGTAGTTATAACCCATATTAGGGGACTTATAGAGGACTCGGTTATTGATGAGAGTAGCAAGCCAAGCTACGAAGCAGCAGCAGGACATCCACGACACCAGCAGCAAGAGCGGTCGCAGCAGCAGGACGGCAGCGACGGCAGCAGCAATGCAGGAAAAACACAATCAGCCCTACAAACCATGGCAGCAAGATCAAGAAGAATACCAATAACAAGGAAAGGAAACATAAACAAGCACAAGCACGAGGAAAATAACCATAACAGCAACACTAGAGCAACAATCACGACGACGACGAGGATACAAGAACCCTCAGCAGTGCAAGCAAGAGCCCAACTGTTATCCTAAACCCTGAACCCTATACTCTTAACCCCTCGACCGCCAAACTCCAAACCCGCACTTGAAGCCCTAGAGACTACAAACTCCTCTTACTAATCAAACCCAACACACCCCATCCTGTAATAGTGACTATAAGGATTATATTAGGGCCCAATTATACTCCAATTAGTGGGCGCCCCTTCTACAGTAATGGAAATGCACTCCAAGGGGCTGTTGCGGTTCGTCCTGAAGAGGATTCAGAACGCAGAGCTCGATTCAGGAAGGTCCAATGGTCTTCTTGTTGGGCTTGGGGACATGAAGTTTCGGTCTAGGGCAGAGGGTTTAGGAGTTTAGGGTTTAAAGCAAGCCCGACACCCTTTACTGATTCGGGGCTTGGGGTCTAGTGTAGGTGTCATTTAAGCAAGGACTTTGGAGGATGCGGGGATAACCACTCCCCGTTCCAACTGTACTAAACCCTAAACCGTAAACCCCTAAACCCTAAACCGTTAAACCCTAAACCCCAAAATCCTGCATCCTAAAGCCTCAACCCCAAAACCTGAATCCTACTCACTAGACTAGGGAAACTACGCCCCGAACCCTGGACCCCAAACCCTGAGTTCAAAAGCCTAACTAACCTGAACCCCAAGCATCCAAAAAGCCTCCAACATAAAGTGTCTGGTCCTTAGTAGGGAATGGGGGAATGGGTTATTGGGACTGGGGACCTTGAGGAACTACGGCTGATGAAATAAATCCTGCACTACCTTAAGGACCCTAAACTATGGGAACTATGGTATATTCCTTAGTATGGGTCATGTAGGATTTGTATCATCAACCGTATCATACAGATCCATTCCCCCATTCCCTACTGAGCACCAGACAGTAAAACAGAGCTTCAAATCTCCAGTCTCAGGTCTGTTTAGGGCATAGAGCTACTTGGAGGATCATGGGACTTAGTAAGGTTATAAGTACCTGAATTGGGGTTATAACTAGTTGTACGTAGAGTTACACTAATTATAACCCTAGTTACTAAGTCCCATGATCCTGTAAGTAGGGTGTAATAGAAACGGTGGTTAGGGTTTGGAATTTTAAGTTGATGATAAAAAGCCTGCATTCCCCGTAATAAGGAATTTGCCATAATTCCCGTAGCTTAGGGTCCTTAAGGTATCTGTCTTGAGGTTTAAGGTTTGTTCTGTTGCGTGTCTGTAGCTACTGGCAAGTTGTTTGCATTCCGCATGCAAGCAAACCCTAAACCCTAAAGCGTCTGGGATCTTAACACTAAGCCTTTTGCCCTGATTTGCGAAACCCTAAACCGCTAAACCCTAAACATTAGACATAGAAGCCGGAAGAAAAAGACGAGGGTCTTGGAGGTCTGTATACTATATGTAAATCTACAAAGGAACCTGTCGGAAGCAACCGCTTATTCAAGCACGTTTATGACGCTCGAAGCTCCAAGTAAGAAGACAACTCTAGTGACGATGACACAAAAAAATAAAACCCATTAAAGCACGCCTTACTCATGCTAAGGATGACATATAAACCAATAAAAGCTCAAAATTTCTAAAATGGGTGGCCGGACTTCGGAATCTCCCGGTTAGGGGCTTTGGGGCTTTGGGGCCGTTTGGGCTTTGCGGCCTTTGGGCTTGGGGCCTGAGGAAGAAGGCCGACAAGCTTTCTGATGAAGGGTTGGCGGCGTCCAGGAACCCCAGAGGCTTTAGGGTGTAGACTTCGGGGTTTAGGATTTACGGAAAAGTGGTTTAGGACAGGCCTGAACCCTCACATCTGACCGGGTTCGTCTAAGACGTTGGGTGTGAGGGCTGTGTCGACATCTGGCATGAATTTTGTATGTCTCGCATCTCCGTAATCAGAACAACAACGACCCAGACTTGACTTTCGCCGAAGTTTTCCTTCCTAAGAAGCCCTACAAAGACTCACCAAATCTCAAATGTGAACCCTGCTTCATCTACAGCCTAAGCCCGCCAACGGTCCTGCGATGAGATCGGCCATGCGCCGGCTCCCAAACGTTCTTTGGGCTTTTGGGACTTCTTGGGCTCAATGGGCTCGTCTTTCCCGCGCATGATTGCGGTTGCCTCAGAGATCAGCTTCACTCGGTGTCGATGTCAAGAGCCACCAAAACTTCTCATAATTAGGGCTCTACATAAAACAACAAGGGAAAGAAAACATTAAAATATCTCAAATCGATACCGAGGTGTAGGGTTTAGGGTCTAAGGTTCTGTAGTCCTAAACGCGGAATCCAAAAAATCTTGAGTGCTCATAAAGCAGCGCAGGGGGGGGACTTGAGGTTCAGGTTTACAGAGGAACTTCGCAGAGTATACTGGAGAAGGGATCCGAGAGTCCTGATAACTGATGATACAGTGATAGTGATAGGTTTTAGGGTTAGGGGTTTAGGGTCTAGTGTTTAGGGTTTAGGGGTGTAGGGTTTAGGGTGTGAGTCTTGGACATGGGCTAGACTTTCTGCAACTAGTATCCTCAGCCAAGCGACTGAAAGGCCAGCAGGATGTTGATGCCCGTCTGCGTCTGCACTAACCTGTTTGCAAAAACCATACAAATATCCTGAGAAACCTTACTTCATAAACCCATTGTCAAAAGCAAAAAGGTGCAAAAGCGTAACACCCGAAGCCCTAAACCCGTCAGCCCCTATACGGCAAACCGAGTCGCTGCATAGTGCCGCAGATGCTCTCAGAGCAGTCACGGGACCTCAGGAAAGCATTGGGATCCTCTTAGGGCAGCGCTCCACTAAGCCTTACGGTGTAGGGCTCCTTTAAAGGAGCCCTAAACGGTTAAACGCATCCCGTAAGGAAACCCTAAACCCTACGTAAAAGGATCCCAAAACAGAAGTCTCTGGAACCCTCATTCCTAAACGAATCTCTTACAGGGGCCCCAAACCCTAAAAGGATCCTTTAAAGGAAGCTTAAACCCGAAAAGGATCCCTAAAAGGATCCGTTTGGGGTTTAGGGCTGTCTGAAGGGATCCTTTTCAGCGTCTGGGTTCCTTTAGGGGATCCTTTGGGGTTCAGGGTTTCTTCAGGGGGCTCTTTTCGGGTGCAGGGCTCCTCTTGGCGATTTTTTTGGGGGTTTCAACACATATACCGCAAACCCAAATCCAAAAGCCAAAGGGATGTCTAACATTGACCACGGGACAGGCAGACGGGCATGTCTTCGTAGGAGAAGACCTCACTGGGCCAACTTTTGCTCAGGGGATTTAAAGCTTTGCGATTTAGGTTTACGGTTGATTGACTTTGTTTGTTCAGGATTTACGGTGTAAGGGTCCGGGTAGCGGGGTTAGGGTGTTTGGGGGTTCAAGGACACCTTCAACCGCAATGTCTTAAACAGAATCTACAAAGAAAGATCTGGACACAAGAAATCATATCCATGTCAGAAACCGCAGGTGGAAAACAAAGCAAAAATCAAGACGAATGCCAGCGATTGGCAGCTTTTTCCTGTAACTGTTGCTGCCCTTCGGCATTGACAGGTTTGAGTACTCTTACCTCTACCCTGAACCGTAAACCCTAAACCCTAACCAACATTGCATTTCCGGCATCTAGCGTTTCGTACACCTTGCTGAGCCTGGAGGGCCCAAGCTGAGAGCTACGTGGTGTTTCCTCAGATCTTCCCATTTAAGGGCTGAACGTTTTGGATCGAGTCAGGCCTCTGGCAATCAAAATGGAGCAAAGGTAAGAAAGAGAGACCTGGATATAGCTCGTTTGTCCTTTGCGATCACTACTACTGGCCGAGGGGCCTTACGTAAACCTCAACCCTAAGCCCTACACCCTTAACCCCAGAATTAAAGCAGCCCTTTCATTTGAAGGAACCTAGGCTGCAGTCCCGATATCCCAAAATGGTCAACGCATCCTGGGTGACAACGTGCTATATAAACCCTAAACCCGAAAAGGTCACCCAAACCGAAAAATCCATCATATCCTACACGCTACATAACATCTTCATGTAGAAACCTGATTGAGAAACCTCGGGCCTTTGTTAGGGTTCCTTATATGAATCCTTCTATTTTGGGGTTATAGGCCCAGGGTTTCTTAATCTAGATGATTTCAAGCAGCCACACCTCAGCCCCAGGTCAGACACAACAGGAAAAACAACAGTGATACTGACAGTAAGATGGGAGTTTCCGAAAATTGGGGGTGTACCTTATTTTGGGAGTCCTTATAAGAAGGATCCTACTATTTAGGGTGCTATGTTAGGGTCCCCTATTGTCGGAAACTCTCAGATCAGTAAAAACGATGATAGTAAGATGGCCGTAAGAATATATTCGTAGTAGCGCGAATAACTACCCTAGACCCTCAAGCTGTCGGAATACCGCCATAACCCTTACAAACCCTCATCTTAGAATCCTAAACCCCGAACCCCTAAATCCCAAAGCCTACACCCCTAAACCCCTAAACCCTAAACCCAAAGCCCCCTAAACCCCTAAACCCCTAAACCCTAAAAACCCTAAAACCCCTAAAACCCTAAACCCCCTACAACCCTAAACCCTACACCCCTTATAGAGCCCTTATCGGTCCCTTATAGGAACCCTTTGTAAACCCCTTTGAAGGAACCCTAAACCAAGCGTCTTTCAAAGGCAAGGCCTCTCCTCGTTCGAGGCAAACTCGGCCTCAACAAGCGGAACACTGCAGCGAAGCACTGGGCTTTGGGGTTTCCTTTAAAGGGATCTACAAAGGGTTCATATAAGGGACCTATAAGGGTTCTATAAGGGCTTTAGGGGTTTAGGGGTTTGGGGGTTCAGGGGTTTTAGGGGTTTTGGGGGTATTGGGGTGTGGGGGTTTGGGGGTTTAGGGGTTTGGGGGTTTAGGGGTTTGGGGGTTTGGGGGTTTAGGGGTTTCAGGGTTTGGGGGTGTAGGGGTTTGGGGGTTTAGGGGTTTTAGGGGTTTGGGGGTTTTAGGGTTTAGGGATGTAGGGCTTCAGGGGTTTAGGGGTTTGGGGGGTTTAGGGTTCAGGGAACTGCATCGCCAAACAGGGAAGTTCAAACAATCAGGGACTCTGGCCTACACCCCAAAAAAACAGGGAGCCTAAATATGGGTAGTTGTCGAAATCAGGGTCCCTTTTCGGGTGCCCTAAATATTAGGTGCCGTATTGAAATAAGGACCCGAAAAGGGACCATAATTTCGACAACCACCCATATGAGGGCACGCGCAACAGGAATCCCTAATTCTATGAATCTTACCGGAAGAACTTCGAATCCCCCAAAATAGCCACGAGGGTCATTAAACTTACCACGACTCAAGAAGGTTCAGGGTTAAGCATTTAAGCGGTGGGGTTTCGGTAGGAGGCTTAGACTTTATGGTTATCAGTTATGTTTATTCAAGTATCACGAAGAGTTGCGCAGCAACAGCCTAAGGTACCTGCAATAACCCTACTGATGGCACCGTCCAGCCTGAACCTCAAAGCAACACCAAGTCAGTAATCAACCTAAATCTCAAAACCGCCTGCGCCTCAAGCCTAAACCCCCAACGTTGAACAACTCTCGTACAAGAGAACATGTGAAATCCCTACCGAACACATATAACCCTATAATCAACCCCGATACAACTGACCTTCTCATTAAGGCCATTTATATAGGTCAGCTCGATGATAAGTAAACCCTTCGTCTAAACCTTAAACCCTAAACTCTAACAAAGCCAAATTTAGAGCCCCCCGATGTGCAAGAAGCGCCTTCGCTGTGCATTCGCTCAAACAGCTGAATGGTATGAGGCGCTGGGAAAACCTGGGATTTAGAGATTGCCGGTTGAGGGTTTAGGATTTAAATTTTAGTATAATCGGATAGGAACTACGTGTCGATACTCATAGTTCGAACCCAAAGGGTCCAAGTAATACTTTAGTATATACGCTTGAAAACCAAATACATACAATGTACTGTCTACGATAATGGTACTTGGACCCTTTTGGGGAACAGGGTTCCCTTGAGGCGTCCTTAAAGGTTTCTTGAGATTTCTTCGTATCAGTGGCTGTGTGCTCGAGGGCTTTGTGACAGCGAGTTTAGGGTTGAGGTGTTGAGGGTAGGGTATAGGGCCTAGGGAGGGTTTTCAGGGGGCGCCGCGTCTGGGGTGCAGGGTTCAGAGATTTACGCTTCAAGCACCCAAAAACACCACAACAAGTCATAGCAAGATGCAAAACCTGAATCGAACTGCTGTTGGCCGCTGAACGCTGACCGTTAACCCTCAAGCCAAAACCTGCACGACTGGCACCGCCGGCTTAAGGCTTAAGGATCAGTGATTAACGTGTATGTACCCGTGTAGTTCAATGGCTACGTGTTACATTAAGAGTATGGGTCTTCAGACTCCATCCCTGAACTAGCAAGCCCAAACCCGGAACCTTGAAAAACCCTACACCCTACTAAAATGCTACCCGAAATAGCTTCAGAAGCCAAAGACATCCAGGCAGCGCTGCTCAATGAGGCTCCAGTGTGCTCGGCCAGCTGTGCCGAAGCAGAGTTGATCTGGAGACGCTCAACATCCTCGGATGCGAGAGAGTACTTTGAGGGCCAGGGGACTTAGTAGGCGGTTGATAAGTAGGGTTATGATTTGGGTAACTCCATTTAGAGTACCTATATAACTCTACTTATAACCTACTTACGAAGTCCCTCTCCAAATACATGGACCGCCGTATACATACCGAGATACCAGTCTATACACATACACACATGCACACATATACACATGTAGGTGCATGTGTACATTCATACATACACAGGTACATACATACATACATACATACATACATACATACCTATTCATACACGACATATAACAATATACTGGATACAGAGACTTACATACAAACATACATACATACATACATACCTATTCATACACGACATATAATATACTGGATACAGAGACTTACATACATACATACATACATACATACATGCGTACGTGCATACGTACATACGTGCATAAGTACATACATGCAGAAGTACATACGTACTACGTACATTCGTACAGACGTACATCTTACGTACCTACGTACAGACGTACATGCGCGCATCAATACATCATCCCTACATCCATCCATCCATCCATCCATCCATCCATCCATCCATTCACCCAGCCAGCCAGCCAGCCAGCCAGCCAGCCGGCCAGCCGGCGCCAGCCATCTATCCGCGCATACATCCATACATCGATACATCCAAACATCCATACATTCATAAATTCAAGCTCACGCATTCATACACAGATACATTCATACATCCATACATCTTCACATCATGCACACGGGTTGCATATACTTACAAGCCTGAGAAAGCAAAAGAGAGAGCGAGAAAGGGCCCATACCCAAGACGACGCTGCATTCTGACTCGCCTCTTGTCCTCTCGAGAGCCACCAAACGCTGCTTGTTCGTTGAACGCACATAGAGACTCTGATGTATCTGGCATTCTAGTTTAACTTACCTATCTGCCCATCTAACCAGTACTTGCTAAATCCTCCTAAACCCTAAACCTCCATCGACCGACCGACCCACGTACCCAGCCACCCACCCTTCCGCCCACTCTTCCACCCCTTTTTGCCTGCCTGGCCTACCTGTTGAGGGCGTTTCTGTGTGCAGACATACACACATGTGCAAGTGTGTATGAGTGTATGTATATGTATATATATATATATACGCATACACATATGTGTATATACACATATATGATATGTCTATAATGTATGTATGTGCATACACACACATGCATTTACAGGTGTGTATACACGTATATCTATACAGAGAGAAACAGTATAGTGAATGTATATGGATGTACATATGCATGTATCTAGCATTGAAAGGAAGCTGCAGAAGGTCTACAGGTTGATATCGGATGACAATCGACTGAGCTCTGCGAGAGGATCCATGGTATCGGGAGTTCTGATTGACGGGCTCCTGTAAGCGTTCTTATATAGGGTCCCCAGAAAGCGCATAAGCAAAAATTAGAAGAGGGATATCCCATACAAACCCCCTTATAAAGAAGCCCAATATGGTAGGGATATCCCTACAAAATGCTAATGCTTATGTGCTTTTTGGGTCCCCAAATGTAGGGGTTTAGGGTTTAGGGTGATCGGCTTCGGTCAGAAACCGTTGCTCATCAGGGGTGAAAGCTTAGGGTTTAGGGTATGGGGCTTTAGTGCCGCTGTAGCAAGGTAGGGTGCAAGGTTCAGCACTTCATGGTTCAATGCTTGGGATTGAAAGTGAATTATTGTACGGGCACGTAACTAGGGCAGAATTGCCAGGCATCGGCAATATTCCAGCAGCACTTGAGCTTGAAGCTTTATCCGGGAAACCTAGACTTCAATCCACAACCCGGTACACGAATCCCTAACCCCTCCCCTCCCCCCCCGGTCTCAAACAAAAAAACAAGAAAAAACAACTAAAACCTCTGCCGAAGCCACCACGTCCAGGAACTGCGTTTGCCGAAGATGTGGGTGGAATCCCAACCCTTCATCGTCCTGAGCTGAGCCCGAAAAGGTCTCGGGTTTGGGATTTGATGCTGAACCTTGCACCCTACATCGCTACAGCAGCACTAAAGCCCCATACCCTAAACCCTAAGCGTTCACCTCTGATGAGCAACGGTTTCTCACCGAAAGCGATCACCCTAAACCCTACACCGAATAACATTCCTATTCAAGGACTTATCGAAAGAAATCATATTAAGGGGCTCTAAAAAGGTAGGTTCCGGGTTTACTTACCTTTGCTTAGTAGGGAATGGAGGAATGGGGTACAATTATAACTACTATTACTACCATTCTTCCATTCGTTACTAACCAAAGGTAAGTTTAGGATTTGAGGGTTTAGGGTTTAGGATTGGGATTTATAGTACACCCAGAAAGCTGGAACATGGATTAAGGATGATCAGTGCTAGGATTGGATCTGCTATACCTTAAGGGTACTGTTCCAACTTTCTGACTTCTACCCTAAACCCTAAACCCTAAACCCTAAACCCTAAACCCTATTGGGGTCTCAGATATTGGGTTTGGAGCTTCGGGCTTTCATGTTTCGCTTCGAGGGTCTTGGGCTTTGAGTGAGTTTAGGGTTTAGGGTTTAGGGTTTAGGGTTTAGGGTTTAGGAGCCCGAACTTAGGCAGACTGTGCTCTGCTGAGATAGGATTGAGAAGACAGCTGGTTGCCAAAGATCGTGGCTTCCAGAGTCCATGCACATCTCGGTAGTTGTCAAAATAAGGTACTAGGTGCCTTACTATAGTAGGGACCCAAAAATGGACCATAATTTTGACAAGCACCCTATGGGAGTTTCCGAAAATGGGGGACCCTAGTATATAGTACCCTAAATAATAGGATCCTTATTACAAGGACCCCAAAATAAGGTACCCCTAATTTTGACAACTACCCATCTCTACCTCGGTGGTAGACACCCTGCCCTCCACGCGGAAACCGCAACTCCACACCCAAAGTCCGGGAGTCCTGTGACCCAAACGCCAGAACAGAGAATTAGGGTTTAGGGTTTAGGGTTTAGGTTTAGGGTTTAGGGTTTAGGGTTTAGTGTTAGGGAGAACCCCCCTAGCCCTTGACTCCAAAACCTCATCGCCCTAGACTCCAAACTTTCGGCCCATCCCAGGGCCAAACCCTGCACTCTAAACCCCAAACTTACCTTAAACCCTAAACCCCTAAACCCCTAGACCCTAAACCCTAAACCCTAAACCCCTAAACCCTAAACCCCTAACCCCTAAACCCCTAAACCCGAAACCCTAAACCCCAAACCCCTAACCCCTAAACCCCTAAACCCTAAACCCCTAACCCCTAAACCCCTAACCCCTAAACCCCTAAACCCCTAAACCCCTAACCCCTAAACCCCTAAACCCTAAACCCCTAACCCCTAAACCCCTAAACCCCTAAACCCCTAACCCCTAAACCCCTAAACCCTAAACCCCTAACCCCTAAACCCCTAAACCCTAAACCCCTAAACCCCTAAACCCCTAAACCCCTAAAGCCTACTTTCGGCCCAGGGGCACTGGCACTGATACTGGGGCTTCGGGGCCCCCAAGAGTCGAGAAAGTCCTCGGGCTGCAAGGAGCTCGCTGCAGAGTACCTGAAAGCCCGGGGCTGAAGGTTCAGGGTTTCCGAAAATTAGGTTACCTCATTTTGGGGGGTCCTCTAAGGTTCCTTAGAGAGATCTATAGGGTTTAGGGTTTAGGGTACCTGAAAGCCCAGTTTAGGGTTTAGGGTTTAGGGCAAGTTTGGACCTGAACTTATAAATCCTGCATTACCTTAAGGACCCTAAACTATGGGAATTATGGTATATTCCTTAAGAGTAGGGTTTAGGGCTTCGAAGAGTAGGGCTGCAGAGTACCTGAACTTAAAGGGTCATGGGACTTAGTAACTAGGGTTATAATAAAGGGCTCTTTAAAGGGATCTATAGGGTTCCTTAAAGGGATCTATGGGGTTTAGGGTTTAGGGTCTACTTAAAGGATCAGGGGACTTAGTAACTAGGGTTATAATTAGGGTAACTCTACTTATAACTACTCATAACTCCAATTAAGGTACTTATAACCCTACTTACTAAGTCCCATGATCCTCAAAGAAAGCCCGGGGCTGAAGGTTCAGGGTTTCCGCAAATTGGGTTACCTCATTTTGGGGTCCTTATAATAAGGATCCTACTATTTAGGGTGTTCAGGGTTCAGGGTTGAAGGTCTAAGGAATAGAGTTTAGGTTTTAGGCTTTAGGGTTTAAGGGTTAGGGTTTAAGTTTTAGGGTTTCGGGGGTTTAAGGCTTCGCGTTTAGTTGTAGGGTGCTGGAGAGATCAGTTCAGGGCTCCGGGGTTCTTGGGGATCCTGAATCTAGGGCTTAAGACCTGTAAGGGTTCCTTGAAAGGGATCTATAAGGGTTCCTTTAAAGGGATCTATAATGGGGCTTAATTAAGGGGTTTAGGGGTTTGGGTTGTAGTTTTGGGGCTCTGAAAAGTGTTTATGAATAGTACCTCTATAGCAACCATAAGGGAAATTAACAAGTTTCCCAAATTGCCACCTAGAAGAGGTTGTTGCTTGAGGGGGTTTGCTATAAGGTATACTAGAAAGGTTGCGACTAGGACACCTGTAGCTATTCTCAGTCTGGCTTGGGGCAAACGATTAGGGCTTTAGGGTTGTAGGCTTGGGAGTGATCAGGGAGTGATTCAGGTTCAGGGATTCTGAGCTTCAAGGTGAAGGGTTTAGAGTATCGAGGTGAGGTGCTACGTGATACGAATCCGGGGCTTAAGGCATAGGCTTCAGGGTCCGAAGTCCATCGAGATGTTTTAAAAGGGTTTGGGAAAGTTCAATGTTGGGAATTCAGAACGGGAGTAGGAAAGCAGGATCTTAAGCTCGGAACCCCAAAACACACCATCATGGAGCTTCAGAAATCAGGGCACCTTTTTATCAGGAGTTTTGATCCTTAAAATGACGGTCTTAGGGTTAGGGCTCAGGGCTTCAAGCCCTGGTACTCACCAGGACCGCAAAACATCCACGAATATCAATATCCCCAACTAGACCGGTACGCAAACAGGGTGCGGCTTCGTGTCCGTGAAGTCGCGCAACCCGACAAGGTGGCAAATCTCACCATCTCGCTTCGTGTACATAACCTGTTGGACAGCAGGTGAACCCCGAGAGCCCAATACCCCTTAATTAAGGAATATAGCTTAAAATCATAATATGAAGCCCTATATGGTTTAGGCCATATGGGGGTCTCCGAAAATTGGGGACCCAAATATAGCACCTTAAATAGTGGGATCCTTTTCATAAGGACCCCAAAATAAGGTACCCGCCTAAGTTTCAAAAACTCCCATATTCCTTCATTAAGGGGTATTGGGCTCGTCTGAAGCTCCATATGATTTAAGCCATATTCCTTAATTTCCTTATAGAACCCTTATTGACCCCTTTAAGGAACCCCTAGGCCTTAAGCCATGCTCCTTCATTAATTGGTATTGGGCTCTCTGGGAAGCAGGACCCAGGGGCTCCCTGAAGGGCTTTAGACGAAACAGAACATGGGCTGCAACGACAACAGGGAGGAGGAGTGGGCGACGAAAACGCACAAAAAAAAGGAAAGACAGAACGAAAGAAAGAATGAAAGGAATTCTAGGAAGAAATGAAGAACATCAACAACTACGACAAGGGCAACGGCAATGGCGCGGGTTTCGCACGGCAGCCTGCCCCAAAAATCACAGACACCCTACGTCAGGAAGCCTCATGACCGGAACCTTTTTCAAGGGGTATATGATACTACAAATATAATATTGAACCCCAAAGTAGTTTCGGCAATTACTTTAAGCCCATGTACTAGAACGGTAACCCCAAGAAGCCTCATCAAACCCCGAAAGCCCGAAGCCTACGACCTACCGCCAACCCTAAACCCTGAAGCTCTTACGTAACCCCTGAACCCCTACTGGTACTCAAAGGATCATGCGACTTAGTAACTAGGGTTATAATTAGGTTTCTATACTTATAACTACATATAACCCCAATTAAGGTACTTACAACCCTAGTTACTAAGTCCCGTGATCCTCCCAAGTAGACCCTAAACCCTAAACCCCATAGATCCCCTTCAGGAACCCCTATAGATCCCTTTAAGGAGCCCTTTTAAGGAACCCTTAGACTAAGTCCCGTGATCCTCCAAGTAGTACCAAGGGCCCCATGGCCTGGAGAACTTCAGTGCGCAGCTTTGTGGAACAGCCTGGGAAATGAGAGTGGAGGAGTTTAGATAAGGCTGTTCAGTAACCCACTGGGTATATAAAAGTGTCTACTTACTTTAGGCTTCTTATTTTATAATAGGAACCCAGAAACCTGAAAGTAAAAAAGTGTACCACTGCGGTTTAGACAGGCATTTGTGGCTTTGAGGGTTTAGGATTTAGGGCCTAGGGTGCTGGGCTTAGGATTAATGTTTTAGGGCCTTTGGCTTTCAGCAATCACTTTCAAGGTGAGCGTCCTTAAACAGAAGAGTAGCCATCATGCAAAGCGTGCCGCCAGCAGATCAACAAGACTGAAGCAGAACGGTAAGGCATGAGAAGTGGAGCAGTCGCTCCAAGAACACAAAGAATGAATCTGCAAATGCTGGTACTACACAACTACTCCACGGAGGACAACAATCCTCAAGAGAGCGGTATCATACTTATACTGTCGTTTATGGCGGTTGCCATGAAGCATAAACCGTGAATCCCAGGCCCCCCAACCCTAACAAAATCAACCATGGGTTTTAGCTACCCAACACCGTTCATAGGATAGTTTTGAGTCCTAAAGCCCTACTATCTGGGTACTTGGACCTTCTTAGTTCCCAAAGCTTCTATCCTTGAGTTCAGTCCGGAAAGCTATGTAAATCCATGTCGCGTCAACCGAAGCCCTAGAATCAGATCCCAAGCACCGCCAGCACAAACAGTCGGCTTATGGTTCATTAGACTTAAGAATTTCTTTTTCTTACTACAGTGAAACGCCAGGGGATTATCAAAACAGCCGTTTTGATTCTGGGAAAAAGGGTGAAAAAGTAAAGCCCCTGTGTAAATATCCTATGATGGGCCTCCAAATCTCCAAAAACCTGTCTCCTGAAGGTTTCAAGCCGCTTGCTGCCTACCCTATCCCTGAGCTCACACTCTTGAACTCCAAAGCGTGCTGGTATCAGGCAAAGTTGCTGTCCACCATCCGGGTATGAAAAGCGTGTGCTCGCATCATCCTCGCTCAGAGATGGCCCGAGAGCCGCCCCAAAGGCGGCGAGAGCAACACACACGAGTTTGAATTTCAGGGCTCTGAACCCTTGAACTGGAAAACTGAACCTCAAACCTAAGTCCAAACCTAGACAGCTGAACTAAAACAGAACCTAAACTCTAAAACACCCAGCGCCGATCTGGTGAGCTTGACTTGAGCTGCTTGATACAGTATCGGTTCAAGTCATAAATCACGGCTGTGTTCAGTTCTTTGTAACGGGCTCTATCTGGGAGTTTCCTAAAAAATAGGGGATCCTAAGATAGTACCCCAAATAGTAGGACCCTTATCATAAGGACCCCAAAATAAGGTACGCCTTTCTTTGGCTTTAGGGTTTAGGCCGCTAACGCCTCTGAGACAGCCTTGTCCTTTCTCATGGTTCCCCCAAAAGAATAAACAGACCGGCTAGTAGACCTTCTCAAATAATTCCGACTAAGGGATATCGGTACAGGGCTCTGTCTATCCCTAAACCCTAAACCCTAAACCCTAAACCCTAAACCCTAAACCCTAAAAAGGACAAGGGTGCTCTGAGAGCTCTCTGCGGCCTAGAATCGGACCAGATGAACTCTGAGCAGACGTGCCAGAGCTTGCCTCGCGGGGCTAAGCTTTGATAACTCTAACAGGTAACAGTCACTATAAGAATCACAATAATAGGAATCATCGTCGAAATAGTAATAACAGTAATAAAGAGGATAAGTGATACCAACTACTAACACTAATAATTAACACTTCTCATAGTGATAATGATAGTAGCAATAGTAGTCATCACCATCATCATAACAATAATAAACAGGAAGATAAAGCTTGAGTTAACATGCGTATAGGGTAGAAGGGTTTAAAGACTCACTAAGGTGGTTGTTGTTTCAGTTGAAAGAGTATCAAAGGATTTTGCTTTTGTTCTATGGACTGTAATACGAGATTATTGCTGGTCACGCCGCGATCGGGTTGAGGGTTAGAGGTACCCTGAAACATTGAGGTTCGAGAAATTGAGATTCAGTGAAAATTTCGGGCTCGGGCATACCCAAGATTCAATCATGTACACTTTGGGGTTGGGGTTTAGTTTAGCATCACAAAGAAAACAGCATAGCGCGAAATAGAAAGGATACAGATATCATGTAGATAACTACATATGTAGTTATATATGTTTTATAGAGAAACAGAAGCCAAGCCAAAAAATCCGCCAAGTCGCCGTACTGCGGAAGGAGGTCAGCTGCAACATGGCCTGCGCGCGCTCCTGGCAAAAGCAGAGCACACTGGCAGACGAGATAGAAACTGGACTTTGAAGTAACCAGAGAGAAAAAAGTATAGCCTTTTATTTCATATTGGTTCCTTGAAGAAACAGGCACCCAAAAAAAGAATTCAAGTATGGTACTCCAAACCCCAGGAAAGGATCAGCGAGCCTTGCCCAAAGGAGATACTCTAGGGGCCTAAATAATACCAGTACTATTTTGGGGGTTCCTCATTATAATTATAGTATAATGGGCACCAAAACACTATTCTAATTATTGAGGACCCTAAATTAAGCCCAATCCCATGAGTCCTAGCTGCAAAAGCCTGGACGTTCAAAACTTAAGGGGTAAGACCGGAACGATTCTGGATTTGCGAATGGAGATTTTGCTGATTCTGATGTTGATCATTGAGTTTCCACGCAAGCCCTCAAGCTGGCCACATAAGCTGTCACGTTGGGCTGGGTAGTCAGGGAGACCTTCGCAAGCCTAGAGCAAACCCGTGGAGTTCCTAAACCCGTGGAGTTCCTAAACCCGTGGAGTTCCTAAACCCATAAAACCCCCTAAACCCCCAACATCGTAAAGCCTTGAGCAGCACCGATTGCTGAGGCCGAGCGTCTGTTTCAGGCATCAGGTCAATGAACGGAACTCCCTCCTGAAGGCCGTGCTATCAGAAGCCCCTAACTACTTCTCGTGAAAGCCGAGTTCGGCCCTCAGTCACAAAGAGTTTTCACAAGTAGAATGTTGAAGCCTTTCTTGATGTGTATACCACCCTCGTTTCGCGTGTCCTAATATAGCTTCGTATAGAGATCTATATAATAATTTCAGGAGTGGCACAGGGATGCGCTTTGAGTGGTGTCTCTTCAACTTTGTCCAAATCCCAGTGAAAGCTTCGCCAAAAGCACACCGAACCACTGCACACCTATGCCAGCCTACAACAAACTTTCATTCCGTGCATCGCGATTCATTGGTTGATTGGCGAAGTCGCGCGAAGTGTTCTGGGAATTTGCTTGGAATCTCGATATTTCTGTGGGGTTCTTGCCTGCTGCCGAGCATTCGCTAGAGGACTACGTGTTTCCTGTTCCATCCTGCAGCATTCCCAGCTTACCCGGCTTCCCGTCCAATTTCCTAACATGTTGCACAGTTCCAGCGTTCGAACACAGAAGCATACGCAAACCCCGACCAAGCGGGACGATAGATAAAGCGGTAGCATTTTGCAGCTTGCATAGCTTGAGGTTTTAAGTTGAAGGTTTCGGAAACTGCATCTAAGGCAGCATGCGAGAGTTCAGGATCTCTTGCACCCTGGCAATCTCACCAGATTGGAGATTCCGAAAATTAGGGGTACCTGATTTGGGGGGCGGTCCTTGTACCAATACTATTTGGGGTACCATATTAGGGTCCCCTATTTTCGGAAACTCCCAGATGCGGCCACGGTATTTATGCAGCACTGTTCGTTGGAGGTTTGACCTTTCATGCGACACGACGCTTACAACCACTCTGATCGCTGACCTGCTCTACACTTGAGCCTGGCCCTGAACCCTCAAGGGGTTTAGGGCTTAGGGTTTAGGGTTGAGGGTTTAGGGTTTGGGGTTTAGGCCCCCATTTTCGGAAACTCCCATGATTACCCGTGCTACGAAGCTGCGCATTGCCGGCATACTGGCTAAAGTGCAGGGAGTGCACGAAACCTAGAATATCCATCCGAGTGACGGTACTACGTTTATTGTGATCACTCAAGGGACAGGTCCTCCAAGGGTAAAAGGAGGGACCCTTAATAAGGTCCCCTAACTATATACCCTTAATATAGCTATTATATACCCATTCTATAGCCCATTATAGGGTAGGGGTCCCCATTAAGGGTCCCTCCTTTTCCCCTTTGAGACAAGCTTGAAAAACAAGCCGAGCATCCATCGATCCCTGTCTGATCAACATCGCCGCGAGCTCACGCGAGTCTTTCGTGAAACCTCGAGGTGCCCCTAAACCCTAAAAGGGTCCCTTAAAGGAACCCTTAGAGATTCCTATGATGGTAACTTGCAACAAACCCTTAAACCCGAACCCCTAAACATCCCCAAACCCCGGAACCCTAGACCCTAAACCCTGAACCATAAGGTAACCTAAACCCTGAAGCCAAAATTCAATCCTGTGGCTTGGGTTTGAAGTTTAAAGTGTGGTTAGATCTCAGGGTTATGGCATCGGGCAGCTATCTCCGGTTAACTGGGCAGCCCGAGGCTGGCCAGCGGGACCAGCAGGGTTTAGGGTTTTGGGTTTTGGGTTTAGGGTAAAGGAGGTAATATAGTCCGCTGAATGCTCGGTAACCATACCCCCCCCCCCATATCGTCCCAGTGAAACTTGTAGTCTAACACATCCCGAAACGTTCCGCTCAATGCCAATGCCCCGATATGAGCAAGACAAACCCAAAAAACCCTAAAACCCTAAAACCCTAAACCCTAAAACCCTAAAACCCTAAACCCTAAAACCCTAAACCCCTAAACCCCTAAACCCAAATCCCTACAGAAGGGACTCTGCCCTGCCTATCAGAAGCCGGAAAGTCTCTGAGGTAAGGCAAGAAACTCCAGAATGATGTAGGAACCGGATTCAGAAACCCTGGGCCTACAACCCCAAAATAGTAGGATTCATATAAGAAACCCTAATAAAGGCCCAAGGTTTCTTAATCAGGTTCCTACATTAAACAAAAAGGGAACCTCAAGCAATAATAAGACACCCTCAGCAATGCAGGGTGTCATACTGGTGCAAAAGATTGTTGAATAAGCATGACGACCCAGCGAAGGGCTGGGCTGCATTCCTGGATTTGGGAGTTTCCGAAAAGTAGGTGGTACCTTATTTGGGGTCCTTATGATAAGGATCCTACTATTTGGGGTACTAGACCAGGGTCCCCTATTTTCGGAAACCCCCATTCGGCAAAGTAGAAGCAGCTATGCTGTGGGAATACTTCCAGTTTGTTTGGACCACTATGGGATGACTAATATAAGGGCCTCAATAATTAGAATAGGTTTTTGGGCCCACCATACTATAGTTATAATTTGGAACTTCCAAAATAGTCTTGGTAATTATTTGGGGGTTTCCGAAAATTGGGGACCCTAACATAGTACCCTAAATAGTCGGATCCTTGTTATAAGGAGCCCAAAATACAGTACCCCTAATTTTCGGAAACCCCATTTAACCCCCTATAGCATACTGGATGCACTCGGGTGGTTGTCAATATTAGGGGTCCCTTTTGGGGGTCATTATTAACATACGGCACCTAATATTTAGGGTTTCCGATGGTTTCCGATGGTTTCCCTGGCCCACACCGTGGGAGTAACACACCTTCCAAATACCCAAACAAGGGTCATAATTTTGACAACCACCCACTTGGTGTGCCCTGGCTAGGGGCTTGCCGTTCGAAGGCTTGAGGTCTAGGAGTCGGGTGGTTTAATAGTTGTAAGACTGTGGGGGGGAGGAGGGAGGGGTTTACGGTTTGGGTCGTAGGGGAAGGGGGGAGGGGGGAGGGTGCAAAACTTCCGGATAGAGGGCTGAAGCTTAAACTTGCAAAGGGTTCATGGGTTTGTATGGACTCGGCCCGACCTCGCTCTCTCAACCGAGGCCAAGGGCTTCTACATAATATGAAGTAATATTACAGAGTCATATATTATAGTATACTCTATATATATATATATATAATATGAAGTAATATTACAGAATAGTATACTATAGTACATTACCGTATACTATAGTATATTATAGTATACTACTATTATACCCAACTGAGGCCGAAAACACAGGCTGGCGTCCAACTCAACCACGGCGTCACAGGTCAGCTGCCTGGAAGACGTCTACTTTCTGGCAACACCCGGGGCTGCACTTAGGGTTTAGGGTTTAGGGTGGTCTTCGGGGTAAACATTTGGGTTTTACAGAACTTAGGGGTCCTCACGCGGGACCCATAATCAAAACAGGACTCCAAAAAGAGGATCGGCAGCACAAGGACTTCTCACCGGAGAAAACTTCGGGCAACCGAATGTATTGTTCGGATAAAGGTCGTCTAGCAGTTGGTGTTTTGGAGTTCAGGCTTTAGGGCTTTGCAGCTTAGTATAACTCAGCGGGTTTGGGACTGGGTCTTACATATTACTAAAAGCCCAAACCCTGAAAACATAACCACGAAGCTCTACCCCTTTTCCATAAACACTGAACCAAAACCCTAAACCCTGAACCCGCAAGCCCAAAAACCCTTAGCCCCCCCCTTGTGTGCACTCCAGCTGCAGCAAGGACGATGCGGCATTGAGCTGTGTCATGGCGTTTTTGCCCTCGATTGCCAGCTCGACCTGTTGGATTCGGCGTAGAGTGCTCGCGCTTGAAGGATCATGGGACATTGCTACGGTTATAATTAGGGTAACTCTACTTATAGCTACTTATAACCCCAAATTTGGGTACTTATAACCCTACTTACTAAGTCCCATGATCCTCCAAGCGGGGTTTAGGGTTGTGGGCTCCTTGGAGGGCTCAAGCAGCACCCAGAGAGCACAATACCCCTTAATTAAGGAATATAGCTTAAATCATAATATGAAGCCCAATATAATTTAAGCCATATCTTAATTAAGGGGTATTGGGCTCTTTGGGCAGATGATGAGGGATCCTACTTTCAGGCCTCGAGCCTAGGAAAACTTGGTTTTCAGGATTTTCACCGTTTCAGGTATGGGCATGGGGGTGGTGTAGTAACCTGATACTTGGAGGGTCATGGGACTTAGTAACTACGGTTATAAGTAGGGTTATAAGTAGTTATAAGTAGAGTTACCCTAATTATAACCCTAGTTACTAAGTCCCATGATCCTTTAAGTAGACCCTAAACCCTAAACCCCATAGATCCCTTTAAGGAACCCCTATAGATCCCTTTAAAGAGCCCTTTATCATAACCCTAGATTACTAAGCCCCATGATCCTTTAAGTAGAGGAATCCCTGGACCAATCCCTGCTTCCTCAGAGGCCTCTGGGTCTGGATCCTACCGGCTAGAAAGCCATAGGGTTGCCCTGCATGGGTTTCGGGTCTAGGGTTTAGGCTTTAGTTTGGGTTTTTTTTTTTTAAGCGCCCCTTTTTCGTTTAGTTTGGGTTTAGGGTTTAGGGTTTGGTTTGAAACTCTTCATCTGCAGAGAATGATGCGCTCAGGATTCGGAGTTCGGCCTGCGGATCGGGGGTTCAGGGCTCTTCGGCTCTTCGAATCGTGTTTCCAAGGGTAGAAGGAGGGACCCTTTAAGGGGACCCCTACCCTATCATGGGCTATATAATGGGTATATAATAGCTATTTTAAGGGTATATACCCGGGGGTCCTTATTAAGGGTCCCTCCTTTTACCCTCGGAGTGTTGGTCGGGGCGAAGGTAGGTACCTTAACCCTTAACTCGTAATGAGTCCTTTAGTGAATTCTCAAGTAAGCTGCAATGTACGCGTTACCCAGAGACTCCAATATCCCTTAATTAAGGAATATACCTGAGATTATATTAGGGATCCTACTATAGTTTGAGGTATATTCCTCAATTAAGGGATATTGGAGTCTGTGGGTATTCTTGGTTTGAGCAGCTCAGCACCCATAAACCCGAACTACTTTGGAGAACCGTCATAGTGCCCTTCCAGAACCCTTAAGACCCAATGAACACCATAATTAATCCCCAAACCACCACAAGCCGTCCTCGGTAGGCGTGCCTGCTTTCAACTCCCCCCTTTTATTCAACTCTTCCCTTTACAGCATATAGCAGCCTCAACCCTAAAGAGCCCGCAATGCGCACAACAGCCCTACGTTCCTTGAATACCTGTCAACCCACAACAGCCCTAGCCTAAACCCTCAACGCTGAAACCCCAAAACATCCTAAAACTAAAACCCTAAACCCTAAACACTGAACCCTAAACCCGAGGCCCTGAAACCCACTGCCCAAATACTACGCAGCTGAGACACCCTTTGCTTGAGGTAGGCCCGGAATGCCACCGACGTGGCCGCGAGGACCGCCTGCAAAGACATGCAAAGAGGCTGCAAAATCCTTAACTATTACAGAATAGACCTCGCAGGGTTTTGGGGCTTTGAGTTAAGAGCGCTTTGGGATTTAGGAGTGGACCTTAGGCGGGTTTAGGGCTTGGGGCTTTAGGGGTTGAGGAAGAAGCTTGCGTGGTTTAGGGTTCAGGATTATTTCAGCAAGCCATACAGGGACCCCTACCACAATTGAATTGAAAGGGTACCTAAAATTTAGAGGGGATTAAAGGGGTTGCTACCCCGATTTCAGGGCATGCCTTAGGAAAGGCAAAGGGATGCTAAACTGGGCGCTGAAGAGATGGAGCTCAGACTGCCGGACGGCTTGCATGTGGGTGTTGGAGGCCACTAAACCCTAAACCCTAAACCATCCACCCTAAACCCTAAACCCCTAAACCCTAAACCCTAAACCCGACACGGCTCGATAGCAAAAGTGCAACAAACCCCAATCCCCAGTCTACTTGGAGGTTCATGGCTAGTGATGGGTAGGGTTATAAGTAGGATCACTACGCTTATAACCTATATTAGGACTTATAACCCCACATATAACTACCCATGAACCTCCAAGTAACTATGAATGAGTGTTGCACGTTGCAGAAGCCGGCGAAAACGAAGAAAGTTCAAACCCCGCACACCGACCCATGCCGAGATCAACTGTAAAAAGGCCTAGTGGCCTGAACCCGAGCAAATCCCTCATGGACTAATTAGTTCAACCCCCGAACTAGAACCCTCCCCAACCCCTACACCGAACCTGCTGTGAGAACAAACGTCTGAAATTCGATTTTCGGAGTCGCATCGCTGAAATAAGCGAAGACCTGCAACATCCCATGTCAGAAAGAGTCGCAAGTATGCGCTGAACAAGCGGAATATTGCCCTAACCCTATATCCCAAAACCCTCAACCTTAAACCCAAGACCTTTATATAGGGGCCTTAATAATTAGACTAGGGGTTTGGGGCCCATTACGCTAGAATAATGATAAGGAACCCCTAAAATAGTATCGGTAATTATTAAGGCATCAGCCCCAATCCCTAAAGCCCCAAATAGGGCCCCAAAAAATTAGGATAGGGATATCCGCATAAAATGCTTATGCTGATGTGCTTTTTGGGTCCCCAACCAAACCCCAAAAACCCGGAAAACCCCGGGAGCCCGCCAGGTTGAGGCACTCGATGCTAACCGCTGCAAAGTCCCCGCCATACTCCTGGCCGAAGTCCTGCTCCAGGGTTCAGGTGTTTAGGGGGTTCAGGGGTTCAGGGGTTTGGTGGTTTAGGGATTATCGGGGTTAACTAGGCGATTAGGGGTTTAGGTGATTAGGGGCTTAGGGAATTAGCACGTGTTATAATGTAGGGACCATAAACGGATACGAGTACATACTAAGTAATGTAGCGGCCTTAATAATTAGAATAGAGCTTGTGGGTATATTGTACCACAAAATTACAATAAGGAACCCCCCAAAATAGTAGAGGTACTTATTATAAGGCCCCTATAAAAGAACTAAATCCATTGTAGACTCCTTTCAGGATCCCGTTTAAAGGGAACCCCAAGAACCCTAGATAATCATTATAAGGCACCTATAGTACTCAGGCCAGTAAATTGCTGTGAGGCTCTGGGTTTTGAGGAGTTGAGGCGACATGTCGCGCTTCCGGTTGCGTGAAAGTTAGCAAGTTTGGGGCCTCAGGGTGGCGGGCTGTAGAGTACCTTTTAGGTTTTAGGGTTTAGGGTTTAGGGGTTTAGGGGTTTCGGGTTTGGGGTTGGGGGGTCTTAGGTTATATCCTAAACCCTTGCAGAGTGGAAGTATGCAGGCTTTAGGGTTTAAGCCGCTAGGTGTCTGGGGTTGCTCTTCGCGTTTGGGGCTATGCGGTTTAGGGCTTAGGGTTTAGACTCAAACTGTACTTCAAACCCCAAGAAACCCCAAATTAATCCCTTCAAGACCCGATAAAGCCGAACAAAACCACAAGAACCAATAATGACCCTTAAAACCCACAGTGCCAATATGTAAACCCTACTTGGGGGATCATGGGACTTAGTAAGTAAGGTTATAAGTACCTTAATTGGGGTTATATGTAGTTAAAAGTGATCCTTCAAGTACAAAACTGTGGAACACCTAAAATCGCCCAGGACTTCGGGTCGAATGTGTACCGGCATTCGCGTTTCGCTGATGCTTGGTGTACCGAAGTAAAGGTTATGTGTGTATGTATATATAGATATGTATACATATATATATATATGGGCGCACCCCTATTTGGGGTCCCCTACGTTTTTCGCTACATCATCTGACTGAGCTCTACCCACCAGACTAGGTTATAACCAGCCGATTAGGTTATAACCAGCCGACTAGGTTATAACCAGTCGACTAATTTATAATCAGGTATACATTATCGAATATAGTATTATGCTTGTATGGAGCAGCTCGATGGCAATGGTGTACGCCATCGACTACAGTATTATATCCGGTTTGAAGACTAACCCGGGAAGTTGCAACAACCCATGCTTTCAGAATGCTGAAGCCCGCACAACGCTAAGAATTCTATGACACCCTCGTCGAAACCCCGTTACAATGTGCTAAAATCCTTGCCTTGAAGCCGTCGATATATCTTCGTAATTCATCTTTGTGTGACTGTATCTAAACCGCTGTATTTCAGTTTTTTCCAACAAGCGCGCTGTAGTCATTAGTCTGGCTCAGTCATTCCTTATCGCGAACTAGATTTTGGAACGAAAAGCTTTCCATCTTTGTACTGTAATGCCACAATCCCATCAAAGTCTCTGTTGTTGGACGCATTGCTATCACGTTTTGGCAAACTGAAAGCTTTCAATGACATATCCCTGTGCCCCTATGTGATTGCTTTTCAACACTGGTATATCCGGTAGGTATATTTGAGTGGTGCATTCCTTAATTCTGTATGACGGCTGCCCCAAGCCAACATTGAAAACTTGCACACTACAAGCTTAGCAAACGTTGTACAGTGTTTTTCCTGGGGGACGACATGAAGCGTCGCTTCTTAGGCTTGGCACTGTTTCTATATGCTGAGTGATGACCGACTGAAAACCAGAAGGCTACATCTAGCTTGTCCGAATTTCTGTTTGTGTTCTTGTGAATATTGACTGAAGGTCGAATAGAAGCCATGGTTCCCAGTCCAGAACTTGATCCTCGTGTTAGAAAAAGTGGTAAACACACACCGAATCACTCCTCGAAAGAGGTTCATCCATGTAGTTGGAAGTAGCATTGCTAGGAATTTTCTACGTACCGAGCGAGGAAATTTAACGGTTTGCAAGTTGCAAATTTTGTTTCGCTCACCACACATATTCTTATCAGTTTTGTCTCATCGAAATCCTGCTTCCTTGGAACGGTCTTTGAACATAGCGTTGCAACCAGTTCGCCTATGTACGAAGTGATGAAACCTGACCACGCTGTAAACTTAGAAATACTGTCTCTCCCTACAATGACGTCATATCAGTCGTATCTCAACTTTCTGTGTACCGTGATTTTCCAATGTTGACAACACTTACTGACCTACTGTAATCCCGATAGAGCCCCTTCATATTCCGCATTTTGATTCCTGGGTCAGTGACATGTTAGTGGCTATTCTCTCAATGTGTACATAGATCTCATAAACCCGATGTACTGGAACGGACAGACCATTATGTAAAGTCCGCCATATAGCCTTTCCGCTAAAGTTGGGGAATGCGCATATGGTCCCCGGAATTTTGTCTGTTACAAAGCACTGCATCATGCCTCAACAACCGAATACATTCCAATTACCTCGGACCCTCTATTCTTCTAGTCCTTGTTTAATTTCATTGCGGTTACATTCCCCCTGAAACACCGAAACTTTCGAACGTTTGGATCTAGGTGTTGATGAAGTAGCGGTGGCACAGATTTGCTTCGTAAGGTTTATAGTGTGCAACAAACAATCAAGGCACCCCAATTTACAAACCACAACCCTGGTATGTAACCCCCCGGTGTTTCGACACAGTTTACCAATATTGCAGGTTCACCATCAAGTGTTGGGTTTGTTTGGGTTTTACTGCTTAGGGTTTGGCGCTAGGGTTTGGGGGAGACTTAAACTTAAACTATTATACCGGCTCGCTTGTGCGATACGACACGGAAGACTTAAACCATCAAACCAATAAGCCAATCCATTTGGTTTTTAGGGCACGGCGGGAGTCTTCAAACCCTGAACGTATTTTGCCGCCTGGTTATAACCTCTGTCCCCGGTTATAACCAGGACACCTGCGTAGTAGGCAGCTCTAGACCCATCACTAAACCATTAAACCATTAACAAACCATTAAATTAGTACACCGTTAAACCAATCCTTTCCCCCAAAGGACCCAAACCAATAAACCATTAAACCATTAAACCAATCCTTTTGCCCCATGCCACTAAACCATCAAACCATTAAACATATCCCTTTACCCCATACCACTAAACCACTAAACCACTAAACCATTAAACCATTAAACCAATCCTTTCCCCCCTAAACCACTAAACCATTAAACCGTTAAACCATTAAACCATTCCTTTTGCTCCATACCACTAAACCACTAAACCATTAAACCATTAAACCGATCCGTTTGCTCCATACCACTAAACCACTAAACCATTAAACCATTAAACCAATCCGTTTGCTCCATACCACTAGACCACTAAACCACTAAACCATTAAACCATTAAACCATTAAACCAATGCTTTCGGCCCATACAGGGATGTGTCTCTCTCTATAGGGGAAAATGATTGGTTTAATGGTTTAATGGTTTAGTGGTTTGGGTCCATTGGGGGAAATGATTGGTTTAATGGTTTAATGGTTTATTGGTTTGGGTCCATTGGGGGAAAGGATTGGTTTAATGGTTTATTGGTTTAGTGGCATGGAGCAAAAGGAATGGTTTAATGGTTTAATGGTTTAGTGGTTTGGGTGTGCAAAAACCCAGGGGACCCCATATAGGGGGGTACCCATATATATATGTGTATATATATATATGTGTTTATCTATGTGTTTGTTTTCCCCTTTGTACCTATTCATCTAGTTGTGTGTAGTCGTTGACACTCATATGTAGTTACTTTTCTAGGTATAACTAGATGAACAGACAGATATATAGATCGATCGGTCGATGGGTAGGAAAGTAGATAGGTAGAAAGACATACTGCATATAATAATGTATATACTGCATGTATATACATGTATATGATACTTTATGATATGATAAGATATTATATGGCATGAGATGATATGGCAATGGTGTGATATATCATGCTACGATATGATATGGAATGATATGATATGACTTATATAGCTATATGCGTTTCTGGTATTATGTTGGATTACTGTTGTTGTCATTATTGTTCTAGTTGTTGCTACTACTGCTATTAGGATTATGATTAGTCATATAAGAACTGCTATTACCTTTCGTATTGATATTGATTTTGAAACCGTGTTAACCGTTAGTATGATTTTTACTACTAGTAATGCGTGTGTATATATGCACATACATATGTATGTACATATTCTATATATATATATATATTAATTAGTACCCTAAGAGTCACTACAAGGACCCCCAATAAGGTACGCCTAATTTTCGGAAATTCCCATATGTATACACAGTAGAGCTGGGGGCTGATGAGGTTAGCGACTCCTGACACAGAGCGGTTCCATCAGGTTTAGAGTTGAGGGGATTTTGACAATGCCTGACTTGGGGTATAGAGCTTTAGGCTTTAGGGTTTTGTCTTTAGGCTTTGGGGTTTAGGCTTTAGGGTTTAGGCTTTAGGCTTTGGGGTTTAGGCTTTAGGCTTTAGGGTTATTTAGGGCTTAGTCTTAGGATCGCAGTGATTCTTACAATTCCGGATTTCGGTTATAGATTGGGTAGTGCCCCCACGCCCGTGCTACTATTGTGGGCCTTATCTATATTAAAACTATAGTTCAGCCGTTACTGAGAGGGGGCAGGACCCAAGGTATACAGCTTGAGACCTTTGCGTAACCCTGGATTTTACACCGCCCTGAACTCTAAACTCCAAAACCTGAACCCGCGAACCATGAACACGAAGCCGCCCTAAGCCTTGAAATTTGTTTGGGAAGGCTCCTCAGTAGACACTCGGACCAGTATGATGATAATGTGTCCCAAGCCGCAGAGCAGAACAGGCCAAATGCGAGACACCTCGGCCCCCGAAACCCCACAGGCCTAGGAAGTTAGAGTCTATGGTTTAGGGTTTGGGGTTTAGGATTAGGATTTAGGCTTAGGGGGTTTTGGCTTCAGGATTTGGGGGGTTTGGGTTTAGGTTTTGGGGTGTAGGGTAGAGGTCTGAAATTTCAAGGTTTAGGTTTGGGGGCCTAGGGTTTAAGGTTTAGGTTCGGGGCTCAACGCTGTTTCGGGATGGGGCAGCGGCCTTCGGGGAAAGTGCGAAAAGCTTTGGGTTCACAAGGGTTTAGGGTTTTCGGGTTTAGGGTTTAAGGTTGAAAGCTCTTCTTTCCTAACTACTAGCCCCTCAACCCCAAGCCCAAAGCCCTAAGCCCCAAACCGTGGGCCAACAGTTTCGGGTCTAGGCTCATCGAGTCATGGGCCTTTGGCCAGGGCTCCTCAAAACGCAAGCTTGGGAGGCTTGAAAGCCAATCCAAGTCCAAACCCGAGATTGGGCTTAGGCTTAGGGTTTGGGGTTTTGGATGTGGCTTTTGAAAAATCCAAAGGTGGCTGCCCGAAATTCAGGTCGAGAGGCAGGTTCGAGCAAGGATATTGGATTGAAAGTCTCGTTTTAGTTGCCTCGACCCGCGCGCTCCCAAATCTCAAATAAGCCTAAACCTTAAATCCCAATCCACAAAGCCCGACTTCCCTGAACCATGAACCCATAAACCGGCCAAACATGAGGGGTTACGATATTTTGGGGGTCCTGATAGTAAGGATCTTACTATTTAGGGTGCTGTAATTAAGGTCCCCCATTTTCGGAAACTCCCACATGGAACCCTCAACCCCGAACTCCAAAATCGCTAAGCTCTTGACTTCGATCCGAAGACACAGCTGCGTCCGAGCTGCGACTAGGGTGTTCGGCTGTCGAACCAATGCAAAAAGAATCATCGAGACCTGGACCCTAAACCCTGAACCCTAAACCCTAAACCATCCCTAAACCCTAAACCGTCCCTAAACCCTAAACCCTGAACCCTAAACCCTAAACCATCCCTAAACCCTAAACCGTCCCTAAACCCTAAACCCTAAACCCTAAACCTGGAAGCGGCTAAGGCGGGGGGATCCCGGGTTCCTACGTTAGGGGCTCGAGGGTTCCTCCTCGGTATCGCGGTTGAGGGAGCACACATCGTCTTGGTTGAAGAGGTTAACGATTTCGGGTCTGCCACGAAGGATGTGGGCATCTAGTGGTTTAGGATGTTGGATTTCGTCCCAAAGACGAAACATACGGGCCTGAATACTACGGCTAGGAGCTTGAGGGCTTCACAGGTACTTCCGGGCGGCCTAAGCAAAAATTCACAAGGAAGTATCTCAGGCCACCATCTTAGGGATCTGTGGTTCAGGGTTTCGAGCCCCCACCCGGGCCTCGGGTGTCTCCGGATCCACGAGGACTCAGGCTTTAGGGTTCAGGGCTGAGGGTTGAGGGGATAACCAGAACTTGATTGGTCTGTAGCGATTGGTAGGTGACATTCGATGATTGCGTTGAGTATGCTCGATGCTTGTATTGCACATGTTCCTAGGTATCTGTTTGCACGTAGTATTGGACTTGGCCGCACATGTTCCAAAATGTCGCCCTTTATGTTGCTTGCGCAAACACTAGCTCTGCGATCCTGAGCACAGGTCTCATTACATATACAGATATTGCTGCTGCTGTCGTGGGAGTGCGACAGCATGAACAAGCTACCGCAATAACATCCGTTATATGATTTGTACTAACTCTTTAAGTACAACAAGTCTCACGAGCAAAGCAACGTCTAGCACTGCAATACCTGTACTTAAAACCTCATACTAATAATGACAACAAGATGGAAGATTTGAATACAAGTAGCAATGGCAACAACAACAACAACAACAACAATGGCTTGAACACTCTGAGTTCTGGAGTCTACAGTCTAACCCCAACGACAAAGATCAACACCTACAACACTCGAAGGAAACTCTGTGAAGACACTAATTCCTAAACCCAAAATCTAAACCCCTAACCTTTCTATGACTCTCATATGCTTCATGGGAGGATGCTGTCGGGTTGCCCTCGCAGTGCCCTGAGGTGAAGTGACCACCGGCAAAAGGTATAGCATTGATATCACCTTCAGGGCTTTAGGGTTTAGGGTTTAAGGTTTGAGGTTTGGGGATGAGGGGCATTGCGATTGGATGCTGTAGGGCCTCGGGGGTTGAGGGTGTCTAGGGCGTTGCGGGCTTCGGGGTGCTGATGTATCAGGGGACATAGCAAACAGGCCATGTTAATGGCGACAAGAAGGCAGGCCCAACTTGCTACGCCACGTGATCCTTCAGGCGGGCTTACCGAGAAGGAGGCTTTGAATGCCGGTTTGGTCCCGTGGCTGCCCGAACTTCAGATTCTGGCAAAGCAAAAACGAGAAACATTCTGATTCAAATAAGTTGACTGAAGACCCCACATCAGAAGCCCTAAATCCTGCAAACCCCCAGACCCCACAACGAGAACCCAAAACGCTGAAACCCTCAACCCCAAAACCTGCAAAGCGCCCTGCCTTCCCTCTTCAATGTAAAGACCACCCTAAACCCCAAGCCCTAAACACAAGGGGGCACCTGGGTCCAGATGTACCACGCGTCGCTCCGCTGCAGACGAGGCAAACAAAAACCGATGGAGATCCCAGCAAGGTTAGCCACCTGTTGCGGGCGAGGTGGCTCGGCAAGTTTCGGGTTCCTGTAGGAGTTGCTGTAAGGTTTCCTTTAAAGGTTCCTGGAGGGGTTAAGGTATAGGGGTTGAGGGGTTTAGGGTTGAGGGTTTAGCGGGTCAGGGGGGTTAGGGCTCAGGGATCAGAGGTTAGGGCTCAAGGCGTACCGTCATTTTTGACATTTATGGGAGCTATAACTTATTGACTCTTACAGGTTTTAAGCTTAAGGGCTTACGATGGCTTTAGAGCATACGGTCTTAAGATTTCGGGTTTAGGCTTTGTCGGGCTTAAGCTCTGGAAATAACCATTTTACTGTAACTAGGATACCCAGTAACCTAAGAATAAAAAGGCCTCTCTTTTTGGTATTGGGTAACTATTTTAAGGAACCTAGGACTACAAAAAGGGAATAAGGGTACTACTGGGCATCCTAGCCCCCAATTTTCGGAAACCCTAAACCCTTTATAGAACCCTTATAGATCCCTTTAAGGAGCCCTTATAGATCCCTAAGGGTACTACTGGGCATCCTAGGTAAGTGGCTACGGCCTGGGCCTCCAAGTTTAGGGCTGAGCACTCGAGAAGCTCTCGGGTCGGCGGCGCAAGAGTCAGGGTTGGTGTTTAGGGTTTAGGGTTTAGGGTCGCAAGAGTTGTCAGGGTTGGTGTTTAGAACAAACGTGACTACGCTACAGTAGTCTGATTTTTTGATTTTCTGCAGTGCTTGATGCACTAATGACAGGATTGTGGGCACTGCCATCAATGTTCAAAAAGTTTTTCGGTGAACCTGAAATTGCCCGTCCCTCAACCCGCATGGGAATCCTAGAACCCAAAATCCCAATCTCTAAGTTCGGAGTCCTAAAGCTAAACTCTAAACCCTAAACGCCTAAAGACTATACCTATACCCTTGAACCTTGAACCTGCAACCCGAAACCACTAAAACCCGAATGCCTCAACCCCGGAACGCCTAAACCCCCGAACCGTTCAACCCGTAGCCAAGCAGCCAATACAAGCCCCGCTACAATGCAAGATCAACAGTATGAGCCCGAAACCAAAAACCACCACGTAGTAAAACGCGTCACTACAATCGTATTAATGCCATCATATCATCACCACCATCAAAATCATCATCGTCACCATCATCTTCATCATGCTTGTCATCTTCTTCTTGATCACCACAACAAACCACAACAACAACAACAACAACAACAACAACAACAACAACAACAACAACAACAACAACAACAACAATTTTTATTAGACGCTGAGCGAGCGGGCTCTGCTCATTGCGGGCGTGTGAGACTGCCTTTGCACCTGAGCAAAGATCTGAGAGCAGAACTGCAAGGAGCCTGGGCCTAGAGTCTGAAGCGGTCTGACTGCAGTGGGCTACACTACGAGCTACGAACTACTTCAGGGCCAGCTCACGTCACTCAGATATGGGTGAGAAACCCTCCGTCACCCTCAGTGTGGACTATGGCGTCCCATGTCCACGAACCAATGATTGATGAGCCGTACCCCGCGGGCCGTCACTCAGAGTGCCTGTTGCGTGGCATCCCACTCATGGTCACTCTCAATCAGAGGCGATGGGCCGTAAGGTCGCAATGGCAATGGTGGCATACAGCCCGTGGCTGTCCAGTTAGAGCAGCGAAGGCTGCTCTAGCCTCGGCGCAAGCCCGTTGTGTGGTTTTTCAACCCGATCAGCACATGGCAACGTTGCTTCGATGTGACCTCTTGGTGCACTCATGGAATAAGAAGATTGGATAAGCACATCGATCGACTGTAGTGCTGTTGACTGAGGTAGCTCCTCTTTTTTTGTGAAAAGCAGATTGCATCGGTAGCAACGTGGCACACCCTGGCAATGACGCACTGTGCCTTTGAAGACCGATGATAACTATGAGTCAGTTAGCTGTGTTGCTGACAGGTGCTGCCTTGTGAGAGCAGCGAGCGTTGCCCGACATGGCAGGTGCAAGCCTCTCTTGAAGCAAACGCACTTAAAAGAATGGCAGTTTCTACGGAAGATGAAAGCCAAGATCGCTCAGAGTAGCTTTGAGCTCACTCGACATACGGCTAGGGCTTGATATACAGTACGCCGCTAACGTGATGCGATCTGTCAGGCTCCAGCCTCTTGTGCAATGAACATGATTGTGAGCAGGGAAAATAAGTGCCTGGAAGGCAAGGCTAAAAGGGCGACCTCTCAGCAAACCAAGATGGGTTTCTTTGTAGTCAGTGCCATGCCAGGATTCCACCCAAACAGAGCCCTCATCATGGTGAGAGAGGCTGAGCAGCAGCGTACCCGTCTTGGAGTTGGTCTGATCTCGATGAGGAGGCGTGCGGACGTTGTAGTTCAGTGAGAAAGTACTCCATATGTGGTCCGGGCAGATGTGCTCAATCAGTCGGTTGAGCAAGCGACAGAAAGATCCGTGCCGAACTGTGTCGGCGCAGAGACCGACGTGAGGTCCGCGAGCAAAGGCCCCGAAAGTAACGTTATTAGCATTGCCATCGGAGAAGCGCTGGCGTCCCGGTCGCCATGCCAGAGCACGAACTGCCGTGCGTACTGCACACCAGAGCGGTGATTGAGCGTCTTGTAATAGGTGCCAGGCCAGGGCCTCAGCGCGTGGGGCCTGATCGTCCAGCTCGCTGTAAGGGAAGGGCATGTGCGTGTCTAGACTGCGAGGAAGACACGGCTGCAGGCATGCAATGTAGCGGGACAATTCCCGCATCCGTTCCTGCCCAAATGGTCTGCGAGGCCAAATGTAGCAGATCGTTGTAGGAGAGCATCCCCGCCTCTGCCGGAATTGATAAAAGCGGCGGCCGAGCAGCCAGAGCATGCTTGGCCTGTAACAAGAGGTACTCCTCGAGTGCCACGGCGTACAAGTCCGGCGGGAAGTCTCGGGTTTGGAGCATGCCGCTAACAGGTTCCTGACTAAGTCTGCTGCTGAAGCCTCGAGGCCTTAGGGAGTTGCATGATCGTCCATCTGCCCCTTACGCGAACAGTGGTAAAGACAAGACTGCTCTCTGCACATTTATGCTCCGCTCGAGGACACTGGCAACGCAAAAGTGACCGATGCCCATTGGCACGTGTTCAGGCTTGCCGTTAGGCAACACACGATGCTCAGAGGCAGGACGTTGCCTGGCATCGGAATGGGCGTTGCCCGTGTAGCAGGCAAAGCAGTATAGTAGGCTATGATATGAAGCATAGGTACGAGCCTGCTAGTCGGCAACACTCGATGCACTATGGCAGGACGTTGCCTGGCATCAGCTTGGGCGTTGCCCGTGTAGCAGCGAAGCGAAGATACACCATGCAACGAAACGGTGGCGAGTCACCTCCTGGCCACTCCTGTGACCCAGTTGAGCGAGAGTATTGGCCTGAGGAGGACCCATAAGAAGACCCATAAGGGTCTGATCTTCTGTACTCCTTACTCTCTCTGTGCTCAGCCTGCTTGTCCCGACGACCGCGAAGTTGTTGGCCTGTTGGCCGTGAGTAATCTTAATGGTGGGGTGCCGATCGCGAGTGGCCGGAAGGATGTTGACATGGGAAGGCTGGTGTGCCTTCTTGGTCGCCGCCTCGTAAATGGTCTGCAGGGTTGTGGCGAAGAGGCGGAAGTCATCCGGGGTGGCCACACGTTTGCCCTCGAAGAGAGCATAGGGGACCCCGTTTTTGATGGTAGCCTGAAGACCCCCAAGCCAGGTTGTGAGCTTGGGATGGACGTGCTCTTGGCCGGATCGATCCATCGTGACCATCGTCAGGTGGCCGGAGGGGTGGACGACAAGCTTGCCTGTGATCACGGAGCGCCAGCTGAGGTCCTTGCGATCATCCTCGGGTTTCTGGTAAACCCTGCTGAGGCCAGAGAGCACTCTGGGCAGCTTCGCCAGCACCTGGAGTCGCGCGTTCCAGATCGCTGTGAACTCCTGAGGCTGAAGGACTCCCACTACTTCCGGAGCCGTTAACGATTGGAGATCCGCCACAGCCACCACCCAGTCGTAGAAGTCCTTCTCTCCACAAAGTTCCTCCATAGTGGGAGGGGTGTCTTCTGACTCCGGAGTTGGAGCTTCCTGACGATGCGGTGCATCGAGGATGGCTGGCCACGGTGCGGCGTTTGGCGGTGGGAAATCAGGCTCATTTGGTCGCTGGCTGCCTGGATCCGAAGAAGAAGACGCTGCTGTCGCTGGGCCGGAGCGTTGATCAGCGGCTCTGTCGTACGCTTCCTGTCCTGCATGATGCCATGTTGCACCTCCGCCGCGAGTCCGCATGAAGTGCGACAGCAGACCATTGGAGGCTTGAAACATGGTAGATCCTCCTGACCTGCTCCGACAGAAGGCACAGCACAGAGTGTCACCATGGTCGGAAGTGCCAATGCTCAGGCCCCTCGGGATGAACCTGTTGTTTGGTGATCTCGCCGTAGTACTGGGGCCACTTGTCAATGAGCTGCTCAATCCTTTCAAGGAGACTGGTTTCGAGGGCCTCGAGAACATGTGCCTGGATGGTTGCATCGGCAGGCACCTGGTCTGAGGAGGCGTTGCCTCTCTGAGCTGCGGCGTTGCCAGCCTCCTGTGCTTCCTGAAGAGCAGTTGGTAGTCCGCGAAGCATGGCATCGTTAGCTCTGGTAGAGGCCGGGTCCGCCTTCCAGCCCTTGTTCCAACCCCAGCATCTGGTAAGTGCAACGAGCTGTTTGGTGGCCGTGCGAAAGCCATGACCTTCATTCGGAGGGGCACCCTGCATTCGCTTCAGAGCATTCTCATGGACCTCCTGTAGCAGGTAGATGGGACCCATAGTCTGGGTGAGATGCCAGCCAGGAGCCAAGCTGTTGCCTTGCACACGCGGATGTAGGGCCTGGTCATTGAGCAGATCCCGGCGTATGACATCGAAGAGGGCGATGCAGAGAAAAGGTAGGTCTCATTGATGGTGCCCTGCGCGTCCACAAACTTGCGCTGAAACGCGTGGCGTAGAGCTGCTGTCATGAGGGGATGCTGTTGGCGTCCCAGAAGTATTCCCTGGAAAAT